GCTGGGGGAGGGGAGAGAGGCTGGGAGCCCTCCCGAGGAATTTTCCCAAGGAGGGGGTTCTGGTTTGGGAGGGTTGCCAGCAAGCAGCCGTGCCCCCTGCCCTGAAGGGGGCCCCCAGTTTCCATGGCAGGCCCTGGCTCATCCTTGGGGGGGCAGCCTGTCTAGCCTAAGCCCCCTCAGTTTGCCCCCCCCACACCTTTCCTTCTCACCCAGGAGAGTCTCCTCCGGTCTGGCCCTGAGCGCCGAGGGCCTGGGGGGTGGATGAGGTGTCCCTCGGGGAGGGGTGTCCATCCGGGGAGACCGTGCGTGCCATAACCAGCCCCCCCTCTTCCCCCCTTCCTCTTCCCCAGCAGCCACTCAGGGCCCGGACGGTGCCTCTGAAGACGACGGCATTAAAGTCTCTTCCCTGCCTGCAGACCTGAGGGAGCTTCTGCCCAGCGTCAAGGTCTGGTCGGACTGGATGCTCGGACACTCGGACACCTGGAACCCCCCGCCTAGTGCCTTGGAGCTGCCCCCATCGTATGTCCACTCACGGCGGGGTCGGGACGGGGCGGGCAGGCGGGCCTTTTCCCCCTCCTTTTAGCCCCAGAATGAGACAGCCCTCCCCAAAAGGAACTGGGGGGGTCCCTCTCTTCCCCCCCCCCACTGAGTTTCTGCACGGGGGTTTTGTTTGTTTGAACCCTCACCCTCATTCCTCAGCCCCCCCCACACTCTCCCTCAGCCCCTTCCTCCTAAGAAGCCAGGAGGGCTCATTTTCAACCAAGTTTTTTTTTATTTCTACATGCATATTTGTTGATTCTGTTTCCGTCGCCAACTTTTCCTCTGGTAAGCACCAGGCGGGGCAGTCCGTACAGCTCTTTCCCTCCCTCCTGACCATCACAGCAACCCTGTGAGGTAGGCCAGGGTGAGAAGGACTGGCTGGCTGGCCCCCGGTAGCCAGGGGAGGGGTTTCCGTAGCCCCCTTGAGGCTTCCGAGAACCACCTCTGGCTCCAGCCCTGCCGCTGTGCTGCCGGAGAGAAGCTCCTCTCCTCTCCTCTGCTGGCCCCCTTTCCTTGTTTGAGCCTCCCCACAGCCCTGCAAGGTGGGGGCGAGGCCGGGAGAGCGAGAGGCACTGGGGGGCGGGAAGCATGACCCCCCCCCCCGCAAGCCCCACGGTGGAGTTGGACCCCTGGACTCCATTCCCGGTCCAGCTCTCTCGGTCTCTTCCTGGTCTCTCTGTTATCTCGGGCGTGTCAGGGGTGGGGCTGGACTCAGGTGGGGGGGGACACACACGACCGTCTCCCTCTCTGCTCATTCTCCCTGCTGCCTCTGCCAGGCCCAAGGGCCATCATCCTTCCCTCCCCGCCCTTCACCCCCATCCTGTTCCTCCCCATGGGAGGAGATGGAAAAGGCTCTCCAGCAGGAGGGGGGGGGCACATGCAGGATGGCCGTTCAGTCTCCCTCTTGTCTCTCTCTCTCTTGCTGCCATCACACACACACACACACACACACACACACACACACACCCTTTATGCCTGCTTGTTCTTCTTCTTCGGCGGCTGCTTTTTGTCCTTCTCCTCCTTCTTCTTCCCCGTTTTGGCTGAGGAAATGGAAATCTCGCGCAGGAAGTGCTGGGCCCCATTTTGGATGTGGGGGGAGACAGAAAGGATGGGTCTGTTTTCTGTTTGCTGGCTGCTGAGAGCACAAGCCCCTCTGGGAGGCGCGCGCAGGCGCTCGGAGGAGCCCACTTCCTGCCACTCCCGGCTCCCTTCCCGAAGGGTTGCAGCCACGGCCACTCCGAGGGGAGCCTGGCCAGCCACCCAGATTTCTTCCTCACGCTAGCCCCCCACTCCCTTTCCACCACCACCCACCCACCCCACCTTTGGGCGGAGGGACCCTGGAAGCAAGGGAGATTCAGCCGGCTGCTTCTCCCGGCTTCTTTTCGGGGGGACGGAGGTCACCCACCCCATGAGGTCAGTTCCCTTTTGACAAGTAGGGACGCTGGGAGAGAAATGGGGACTCACCTGCACCCCAGCAGC